ATGAAATGTGTTATTGTGAATTTTTAGTGGTTTGAAAAATAGTTATTTTATTTATTAAATCCAACAATATAATATACAAAAAATCTTTAAGACTTTTATTTTTCCATAGGTACTTGTGATTTTGTTCTCTAAAACGTCACAAAAGAGAATCTTCGATAAAAAGAAGCCTAACATGAACAAAAACAAAACAAAATGCTGTGAAAAAATTAAGATATGATTTTAAGATTTTTAAGATTGTTAAAGTCTGATTGGAGATATTCATAATTAATTTTTTTAGTCTTCACACCTTCTAAAGCCAATTTCCTAACTATTCTTAATGAAATTAGGACAATTTGTAGTAGACATAACACTTCTATCCAATACTTTTGAAAAAACCTTAATCCACCACAAATTGTGAATCTAGAAAAACAGAATCACTTCACCAATGAATCGATGTTAAAGATAAAAAAATAATCATAGCCAAACGATAAAGAGAATGAGATAAAAATACAATAAAATATCAATTATTCTCTCACTACGTTTCATAATTCTATTGAAATAAACACAAAGATACATTCCAACATCTTTGTTGAGATGATGTACAACTTCTCTAATCAATAATTTTTTTTATAAATGTGTTTGATACAAGAAAAAAGACAATAAATCATTTTTTACGGAATCGTAGTGAATATTGATGAAAACATACAAGTTAAAGACATGTATGAAGAATTGTTTTTTTTCATAGACCCACCTTGAAAAAGATTGAAGTTATGCTTAGTTGTTGGAGATCTCAGTTTCTTCTGTCCAGTCAGAGTTCGGCTCGCTCCATGACCTCGGTCTAACCCCGAGCTGCAAATACAACACCATCTCCAATGCCTCAAAGACCTTACATTCATCCAAAACCTTGTTCCAGGCCCCACTCACTATGCAATAATTGTTGTTATACGGTGCTCGGTGATGTTCCGCGTGCTGTCTCCGTGAAACAAGCAGCCCCATGTCCTGCAATGCCACCACGAGAGGTGGAAGCTTGCTCTTTGTTCCATGAGCCCAAGCATGGAATTGCTGGCTAAACATTATGCAAAATGCACATGTGCTCACAAATCCATGAACCACAGGGTCATTAAATGCAAGGTCTAGTGGGAGAACCGTAAAGGTTATGACTCGAGCCAGAGCGTGTAGATTGTTAGCAAATTGCCGTCTGGTGATTGTCCAAGGCCACTTGTGGTGACCCTGAAACGCTTCGATTTGGGTTCCTACAACAGGCGTTGACTCATCACCGTAGTTATCGATGGCCCAGTGGTATACACCAGAGCCTAGATCAGCTAAGATATACCCTGCGTAACCCGCTAAAGCTGGTTCGAGCCAGAGATGAGAGCCAAACCCTCCAATGATGGATTTGGCTAAAGAGGCAAACACGGTGGTGCAACCCGCTGTAACCCATAACCGGTGGGTCCATGTTGATTGCAGAGTCGGGTCGTTGGAAAGAGGAGGATTCACAAGGCGTTTCTCAACCACAAGCTTCTCTCGGTTAGGCTGAGGTTTGGTGGTGGTACTAACGGCGCACGTGACACGAACACGGAGAAGCGAGGGACGGTGGCTTCTGGGGATGTTGGTGATGGGTCTTAGAGGGTACTTGGTTTGAAGTGATACAGCCATATTGAAAGAGATTAGAGGTGGAAGATTGTCATCAAGTTTCGAGTGTTTCTCAAAGCTAAAACGAACGAGTAGAGGAAGAGATTATGCTACAGTTTATGTTGTGGTGTACGTTAGAGATGCGTGGTGCTATTGTGATCACCATTACCAGATGTGAACGAAACTTATAGAAAATTTTCAAAAATTGGATTCTTAGTTTCTAAAGTTACAAACTAAAAACCCAACATTTTAGAAGGTCCTATTAGCCCCCCAAGTCTCCAACAAAAAATTGTTCTTCAATCCTAATATTCGGGTTCTTTCATTTTCTTTTTATTCTATGAGTAGAACGAACTAAATAAAACATAAGAATACGTTGAATGTATAATGATGAAATTAAACAGTTTAGATGAAACCAAGTGTCTTTATCATATTGA